TGGACAACCACGAGGTGTTTGGTGGAAACATTCCCACGAATAAGGGGATCAAGCTCCAGGGTAAGCCTATTGACTCTGTTTGGTAGTTTGTTCAGTTTGTTCATTTTGAAACTACCGAACTAGACCGACTGCAAGCCCTGATTCTCTGGAACTGTTTTGGGCATGGGACCATACAGGCGGTCGGTCAAATTATGACTTCCAGGAAATTCCTGAACTCCTGAACTGATCTGGGTCATTTCTGGATATGTTGGTCACCCAGATCAGGGCTATTAGGGAATGTAACTTTTGTGGAGATTTTGTGTGTTTTAAAGGGAGAAACTGGTATGTTTACATAGCAGGACTAATCCAACCTCTAGTGGCAGTCTTCCTGACAGCCACTAGAGGTGCATCTGTAAGGCTGGATGCGAAATTCGCATCCAGCGTGCAGAACGTCCATAGGAAAGCATTGAGAAATGCTTTCCCATGGACTCTTTGAATGCACGCGGCACTTGAACTACCATAAGGTACCATAAGGTAAGTGGCTGAAGGGGTTTTTACCCCGTCAGCACCACGGGAGGGGGACTCTGAAGGTGCGGGCACCCTTAGGGCACTATAGTGTCAGGAAAACGGGTTTGTTTTCCTGATACTATAGTGATCCTTTAAGGTATTTTGGGGGTTTTGTAAAAATTTGTGTTTTTTTGTGCCTGGAGATAATTGAGTTTAATATAGTGCTTGACTCAATTATCTCCCAACCATAGGGAACCTATTTTGTATGGGAGTGTTCTGGACCTGAGAGCCAATGTAATCGTGTATATGTCTACTCTCAGGTCCAGGGGGGAGTGCCCCTTGCATGGGGACCTGCATATAAGGCCAGTTGTGGCTGCCATTAAAGAGATTCCTTTTACCATTCATGAAGTCTAGGCTCATGTTTGGGGGATTGGAGAGCTATATTCACTCTGGGGATTGCTATAATCACTATACTCCCTTGGATCACAACGGTTGCTCTTGTAAGAGCAGCCTGCTTCGCTCACTGGACTAGGAGAGGTCTACCAACTGGATGCTGGTTTATGGTGTTCGGTGCGGTGCTTATGGTACTCAAGGATTACTAGGAAGAAGCAATTGACGGAGGTATCCAGGCGGTCCATCATACATGCATACTGACACATGCTGACATACATACATACTGACATACTGACATACATACATGCATACTAAATTACATGCATACTAAATTACATACATTCATACATGCTGACATACATATTGACATACTGACATATATACTGACATACATGCTGACATACAGACATACATACTGACATACTGACATACATACATACTAAATTACATGCTTATTAAATTACATACATTCATACATGCTGACATACATACTGACATATATACTGACATACATGCTGACATACAGACATACATACTACCAGACATACTGACATACACACAGCTAATTTTTCATCCACTCTCCTGTTTCTTACCTATTCCTTGCAGGAGAGTGGCTGGGGCTGATGGGAGTCTGCGTGGCTCTCCCTCTACACAGCCTCCACACTGTCTCTCCTCCTATCTGGAGTGAGCTGGGAGGAACTGACCGGTCGTCACTTCCTCCCAGCAGCACTTGCGGCACAGCTGCAATTTTTTTAAGCGCTGACCGGGCCCCTAGATATAGGACCCATCAGGTGGCCCTAAGTGCCGGGGCAACCAGATGGGCCTCATCAGCGGACGGGCCACGGTGCAGCTGCACCAGAGGCAGTTCCACTGCTACATGTGGGCCCGGGCCCCCCAGGGCCGCAGGGCCTGTGACAACCGTCATGATTGTCACCCCCTGATGACGGCCCTGGTGCCTGGAGTCTGTATGTACAGCATCTTGCTATGAAATCCTGCACATACCGAGTTTAACCCCTCTGCTGCTTGTGGTGTAACAACACCACAGTGTAATTTGGGTGTCATTAGCAAGACTAGAAAAAAGTTCTGGCTGGCTAATGTCAGTCATGTGCATATTAGGTGTCTCACATCAGCATGCATTTAATTGTAGTACAGATATCCCCTCTGTGCTGCCCATGTCCTCCCCTCAGTCTGTCCACCCCTAGGTTCCTCCCCAGCACTAGAACGTTGGTATGTTTGAATTTTTTTCAATTATTTTTTAAAATTTGAGTGGGTACAGACTAGAATAGGAAGGGTTACTATAACCTAAAATAGTGTTTTATTTAATAACTGTTCTATTAAAACACAGTTGTTTTGATTGGAGAAACCCTTTGATGTAACATATGCAGACTGCTTTTCAGTGATTAAGTGAAAATTGTTTATATTTAATTTACCTATTACAGACATTGTGGAATTACACAAGTTACATACCAAAGACTACATGGTATCCCACATCTTGTGTGAAATTTTAATACAAAAAAAACAAGTGAATACAAAGGTGCTTATAATAATAGTCCTCTAGTGAAGTTTTAAAAAGATAATAATAAGTATTTAAAAAAAATAGCAGCACCCTAATTAGTGTAACAGCTCATACAACACATAGTAAATACAAGAAAAATATATAGGTGCGCTGTGTCTTTAAGACCAAACCTATTTTAAAGTGCAGCAAGTGTTATAAATATTAGCGGTTAACGTTCTCATGAGATGAGCTTGTGGACAGTGCAAGACAGATTAAGTTTTAATTTGGGTTTTAATTTAGAAGTTTAGTTCTTCCCAGATACCATGGTGCTAGTATGTAATCATATTGCAGAACAAAATATGGGAATGCACTCTAAATAGCACTGAATAACATGTAGTTTTTAAGCACTGCAGATTGTGGGAAGATTGTGTATAAATACATTATAACTAAATCTAAGACCAAGAAAGACGTTGATATATACAGAAAATGTAAATAAAAAGTAACTTTTATTGAATTATTTCTAAAGAGGCTGTAATTGCCACCTAAGTGATCAGTAATAATTCCCAGATTTTACTATTAACATGACGTAAAGTCATGATTTTATTAAAGACACGGAGGCGAGTATTATGCATATCTCTTTCTTTATTACTCTCAGCAGCAAAGAAATAGAGATAAATAAATAACTGAAAGAACAAAAAAATACAGTGTTCAAGTAACCAATCACATAACAGAGGAAGTGACTATAATATACTTGAAGCACCCACAATCCCCCTCTTTCTTGCGGATAACGAAGACCAAATACAGAACATCCAACTTTGGCTAACGTAGCCAACCGCAGCTCCAATATGGCAAATCACAAAGAATTCAGGCTAAAGGAGAAAAAAGAAAAAGTTAATGACTGGACTCCAACTGTATGTGCATAACTATAATAAATAACACAGTACGTCAAACTCAAAACTCTACACACCCAAATACGGTAATACAGCTATAAGGAACATAAATGTAACCCCAATACATAGAGAAACGTCAGATACAACACATACAATCAAAAAGTCTAATAGCGAATATATCATACTTACCAACCATACCAGCCAATGCCCAACCCCAGCCGGGTGGGTGGGTGGGTGGGAATAATACTCGCCTCCGTGTCTTTAATAAAATCATGACTTTACGTCATGTTAATAGTAAAATCTGGGAATTTTATTAAAGACACGGAGGCTCCTATTATGCAAGTTTAAAGCTTAGAAACCACTTGAGATGCAAAATGGTCAATCGGCCTGAAGTAGAAATCACGAAAGGTCGATTCCCGTGACCAATCCGCCGCACAATATCTTCTAGGCGGCAGCCCATAGCCGCCGCCTTGGAGGCCATAGCTCCGCGGACTGAATGAGGGGTGAATCTGGACGTATCGATCCCGGCCAGAGATAACAATTCCCGAACCCATCTTGCCAACGTAGGTGTAGACACCGGAAGGTGCGGGGCTCGAAGCGAGATGAACAAGGGGCATAGCTCCGGGGATCGCAACGGTCGAGTAACCTCGAGGTAGGCCTGAAGGCATTCGACTGGACAGATAGCCGGGTTTCCCTGGAATCTAGGGTAAACAAACACCTTCGAAGCCGACTTCGTTCTCCTGGATATGTTAAAGGAGATGCCCTCCGGGGTGAACGCAATAGCATTCCAGTCCAATGCCCGAACATCCGACACCCTCTTGCAAGAGATAAGGCATAGCAACATGACCACCTTCGCTGATAGCTGTTTCAGTGTGAGATCCTGATTTGGATACCAAGCCGACAAGAACTGAAGGACCACATTCACGTCCCAGAAGGCAGTGAATCTCGCACGGGGCGGTCTGGTGAGACGGATCCCCTTGAGCAGTCGGCATACAAAGGGGTGACGTCCTACGGGCGAACCATCCAAGCCTTGGTGTCCGGCTGATATAGCGGATCGGCATAGATTAATGGTGCGATACGCCTTCCCAGATTCAAACATCTCAGTAAGGAATTCCATGATCACATGTAAAGGGGCAGATATGGGATCCACTGACCGTTCCACGCACCAACTAGACCATATTCTCCAGGCGGATCGGTACGCCACTCGAGTACCTGGTGCCCATGCACTGTCGAGGAGGTCGAGAGTTGATTGCGGAACCCCTGTGATAGACCAGGGTCCCCTGAAAGAGGCCAGGCGATCAGGTGTAGGAGGCCGTGCTCCACCAACTCGTGCAAGTTGCCATCCGGATCCCTCAGGAGATTCGGGAAGGTCGGTATCAGGCGTGGGTAATCCGCTGTCAGTTCCAGCAGCTGAGGGAACCAAGGCCGAGACCGCCATAGTGGTGTGATCAGTACCAACGAGCCGCCGTGTTGCGTCAGTTTCGACAGCGTGCGAGCTATCATATTGATCGGGGGAAAAGCGTAGAGCCGAGTCTGCGGCCAGTCTTGAAGGAACGCATCCGTTGCTACTGCCGCCGGGTCCGGTCTCCAACTGAAGAACTTGGGTACTTGCGCGTTGAGACGGGATGCGAAAAGGTCCACGTCGAATGGGCCCCAAATGCGGTCCAGACCCTGGAAGGCCGTAGCGTGCAAGCACCAATCTCCAGAATCTCTCAAATAGCGTGAGTTCCAATCGGCCGTTGAGTTGTCCAGACCCGGAATATGTTCCGCCTGCACGGAAATGCTGTTGCGAAGGCAAAATTGCCAGAAGTCCTTCGCCATGAGAGCTAACATGCGCGATTTCGTGCCTCCCAGGTGATTGATGTATCGGACCGCTGATACATTGTCCATCTTGAGCATCACGCAACAATTCGCCCGTTCCGGCGTGAGGCTGCGAATAGCGAATGCACCTGCCAATAGTTCCAGGCAGTTGATATGGAGTGTTCGTTCCTGATTCGACCATCTGCCTCTGGTAGATGCGGCACCACAACGCGCGCTCCAGCCGTGTAAGCTGGCATCTGACTCTATCACGATGTCCGGGACAGAACCGAATATGGCTCTCCCGTTCCAGGCGTCCATGTGGGCCAGCCACCAGGTCAGCTCGTCTCTGGACTCGTCGTCGAGTCTCACTCTCTGTTCGTAAGAGTGGCCGGCACGTAGGTGAGAGCCTTTTAAGCGTTGAAGGGCCCGGTAATGGAGAGGGCCAGGGAAAATTGCTTGTATTGAGGCGGCCAGGAGGCTGATCACCCTCGCCAGATGTCGGATAGAGATGTCGTCTGCACGTAGTGTACGTCTGATTTCCTTCTTGATCGCCTTTGTCTTGGATTCCGGAAGGAACAGGAATTGTTGGACGGAGTCCACTGTAAACCCCAGAAATTCCAGTGTTTGGGTGGGGTCTAATACCGACTTCTCCCAATTGATGAGAAAGCCTAGGTTCTGGAGTAAGGACGTAGTCCATGATACATGAATCGTCAGTAATTCTCTTGACTGGGCCATCAGCAAGATGTCGTCCAAATAGATGATCAGACGTACTCCACGACTCCGAAGGAAGGATACCACAGGTTTCATGACCTTGGTGAAGCACCAGGGGGCCGAGGAGAGACCGAAGGGCAGACAGGTAAACTTCCAGCGCTTTCCCTTCCAGGTGAAATGGAGGAAATCTCTGTGGGCCGAGGTTATAGGCACCGTAAAATAGGCGTCCTTGAGGTCTAGTTTGGCCAACCAGTCGGACTCCTGAAGGAGGTCTCGAAGGCAATGGATGCCCTCCATCTGGAAGTGGCGATACTGGAGAAAAGCATTGAGGGGGTGGAGGTTGATGACCGGACGCACACCCCCACCTTTCTTCGGGACTAGAAATAGGTTGCTTGTAAAGCCCCGTTGAGTAAACGGGACCTCTTGTATTGCACCTTTGGTGCATAGTTCCACGATCTCCGAAGAGATCAATTCTTCCTGCTCTCGAGCTAGCGAGAGTTCCCTGGGGACAAAAGTTTGAACAGGAAAAGACACAAAATCTATGTGGTAACCATTCACTGTTTGAAGAACCCAAGCATCTGCTGTCAGGGCCACCCATGCCTCGTAAAACTGGGCCAATCTGCCCGCCACCCGCTCTCGTGTATGATGGACAAAAGGGGTACTCACCATAAGGGCGTCTGCCTGATGAGGCACCTCTCGGGTAGCGGGGATTCCAGGACCTCCCTCTAGATGGGAAGAACGGAGCCGGTCTGGGCTCCTGGAAGTATCTGGTAGGGAAAAAGGAGCCTCGCTGGGCTCGATACGAACCCCGTAATCCGCGGCCGGGTGGACGGCTCCTGTTGCGCCCGGCCCCTCCAAAAACTCTAGGGGAAAACACCCTCTTCATATTAGCCTGGGCCTTATCAATGGCTGTGAAGGTTTTAACGTAAGACCCCAGGTCTCTTACGAAACTGTCTCCAAAGAGCATCCCCTCAGCCGAGGGACCAGGTTCGGAGACGGCCATGGTAGCCAATTTAGGATCAATCTTAAGCAGGATTGCCTTCCTGCGCTCAGCGGAGACGGCCATATTAGCATTGCCTAGTAGGCAAATGGCACGTTGCACCCAACCGATCGCTACATCAATATCAAGCTCCGCGTCACCCGCCTTGGCGGCTTCCAGAACTTCATAGGCCTTAGACAGAGGGCCAATGGTGTCCATAATCTTGTCTTGACAATGTCTCAGGGAAAAATCAAGGCCCTTCTTTTGCTTCCAGCCTGATTTGTTGAGGAACTGGGCAATCTGAGGATCGACCTCTGGCGTCTTACACGCCGATCCTGGGACCGAAGGTCTAGGACATTCAGCCCGTAGCTTACTGCGACTCTCCCTAGAGAGTGGCGTACGCATCCGAAGTGCGATATATCGGGCGATATGCTCAGGGGGTTCCCACTCAGCGGAACGAGGATGGCGCAAGTCATCCGGATCAAACAGGGGGTTACCCTGCGGATCCAGAATCCTCGCGTCGCCACTCGCCCCCTGGGCAGCAACACCCCCGGCAGGGAAAGCGCCCCCAGTACGGGGTGCTACGGCAGGGGGAGCTCCCTCCTCCAAGCCGGCTTCTTCATCAGAAGCATAGTCTAGTTCCTCATACTCCTCCTCCTCACTCCGGTCGCTCTCCGACCTTTCATCACGGGATCTAGCCCGTTTCCACAACCTGGCCGTTTTTGCCCGACCAGAGGCTCTTTTGCGCGGTGGGAGCGCGCCATCTGTGACTGCCTCAGGCGAGTCCGTCAAGGCAGGTAAAACCTGCGTCATGGAGTGGGAGGAGAGATGTTTTGCCTTCACTTTGGCCTTACGGGCACCAGGTGGGGTAGGGATAGGAGTAGGGCCCATACCCAGTAGGGCAGGGTTAGCCGCCTGGGGCAGCAAAAGAGACTGCGCCAGAGTCTGGGAAAAGGAGGAGGACATAGCCCCCATAGCAGAGGCGAGCGCTCTCTGGAGAGAGGACGCCATGGTGGAGTCCATCAGAGCCTGGAACTCCTCAGAGATGGCCTGACCCTCAGGCAGCTCCTGATGGAAGTCAATAATGTGGCCCTCAGGACCATCACCCTTATCCTGCATGACTACAGGAAAGGGTTAAACAGGAGAAGTAGAAAATGACAATCAGATCTGAAAACAAAACAAAAACGGCATATAAGTATACAGAGGAAAATGACAGGGATAGAATTAGGGTTTAATAACCCAAAAGGGACAGGAATAGGACAGGGCTAAAAACAGCCACAAGAGAACAGGAAAGAAACACAAGCACAATGAAAAATTAAATAAAATAAATTAAATAAAATAAAATTAATCAAACTTAAATAAACTGAAAAAAAAAACAACAAAAAAAAACTGCAAGATGTACATATAAAACCAGCAAAACTGAATAAAAATCCTACCCCACAGTGGTGTGTAACAGATGAGCACTGAAAGTCCTCAGGGGATGAAAGGCAAAACCGGCAGGGGAGTGTGGCCGTCGGACACAAGATGGCCGCCACACGAGGGAGGAGAGGCAACCGACGAGAGCGGGGGAGGGGGCGCACGTGTATCCACAGCGCGGCCCGACCAACACACGCCCGGGAGCCGCCGCCGAGCTAAGCTGAGGCTCGCCGGCGTGTAAACACAAAATCCCCTGAGACATGGGAGACCCCGCGGCTAGACGCAGAACGCGGCCGGGATGGGAGAGAGCGGGAGGCGGCACTGCCTAACGCGGCCGTGACGGCCCCCAGGAGAACACACCACAGGGGGGGAAGAAACAAGTAAAAGACACAGGCTCCAGCACCTAAGATATATAACCAGGAGCAGGAACCTCAAATAAAATAAACATGCAAAACACAGTACAGTGTAAAATCACAATATCAATATCAGAGCAGAAAAAGTTATGTACTTAACTGGTCTGAGAGCAGCAAAGAAAGAGGGGGATTGTGGGTGCTTCAAGTATTTTATAGTCACTTCCTCTGTTATGTGATTGGTTACTTGAACACTGTATTTTTTTGTTCTTTCAGTTATTTATTTATCTCTATTTCTTTGCTGCTGAGAGTAATAAAGAAAGAGATATGCATAATAGGAGCCTCCGTGTCTTTAATAAAATTGAAAGTATGTATATACAAAAAAACTCAAATGCATAGAAGAAATGCTGGATATAAATGTAATCCCTATGTGTATTACCCCATATCAGTCACCAGGGGTCATATTCACAAAACAAGCTCCAACAAACAGAGCGTGTGCAATTTGCAAATTTCTACGTCCCCAGGATATAATGCAAAAGTGTAATTCACACAGTTAACTTTTGATGATTCCAACTTGGTGGGTGAAACGTGCGTCGAGTGCGTTGATCTTTGTATTGCTTTTTTCTTTTTTCTCTTTGATGCAGAACATATATTTTTTTTATGTCTCAGCAGGCTGGCAAATAAGTAGGGATACTCAGCTGAGCCTAGTCTGCTGGCAATTCTCATTTGAGTGAAGTACCCTGATACTTGTAGAAATGACTAGAGACACAGTTGCGAAATTAATGATGAGGTGATAATTAGAAACAGTAATAATTTTCTGTGATTAATGCTATGCTATCTATGTGTTAGTATTTTCTGCATCTGAATCTTATTCACATTATACAGGACAAGAAATCTGCTAATCAGGGGAAGTATGTAAGCACACATTTTCGAATATGTAGTTCCACATTTGTCGTCTGTATGACATATATTTCAGTATATGATTTTTTCCCTTTATTTGTTTACATGGTCAATGAGTTTTAGATGACAGCTAGTTAGCCTGATACATCGTACAGTTTTTAATAAAGACCAATAAAGATCTACATTTACAATTTAGACGTCCAGTACTAGTCTTCACTAGATATGAAATCTGCCATGAAATCCACTTTGCTGTTTGTTTGCTTTTATTGGTAACATAAGATGTTTTGTGGATGTTTTTCATTGGATCATATGATTTTGTTGTCCTCTGTACCCTCCAACATATCCTTTTTGGTTGTGTTTCACCTCTTGATCTGCTGGCAGGTGAAATCTCTTTAAATTATGATATTGGTTCATTAATGAAGCCTTGGGATTTAATTTGCTGAAACATGTCCTCTTTACCTTTGTTTTAGAGGAACACTCCTGGACATTTTGCTGTCTCAAAGGTACATGGTTAAACTATATTAGAAGGGATTATTAATAATGTTGTGTCTCCTGTTCTTCTCCTTCATTCCCCCATAGAAAACAGGAATGTTTCCCTTGGCAGCTGGCTGCTCATTATTTGTGATAGTACCTACAGTTGGTGTTACTTGCAGTTAGGGCCAAGATGCTCTCTGGGTATCACTGGTAACCAAAAGAAAACCTTTCAGGTCACAGTGGCAGCCGCAGGACACCTGAGAGGCATTGCTGGCCGGTACTGCGGGGACAACCTAGGGGGTAAGCTGTTCCAATATGGTATATTCATGTAAAGTGATGTACTTCAGCCCCAAAACAACTTCATTGAGATAACATTGCTAGTTGGAGTTGGAAGTATTTCTTTAACCCATTTCTTCATGGAGCACAATGCGTAATAAACACATGTTCCCTGTGTGCTTATTGTTCTCTCCTAGTCTTCATTGGAGTTCAGAATGTAAACATGCTAATTTAGCAATTAGTTTGAAGAGGACAGAATATGTGTTGTGTAGTTATGCTGGGGAATGATACCTCACCCTGGGATTATTACATTTTCTAACATGACCAGCTGTATTCCAGGAACATTTATAACACACAGAAAACTAGGTTCTAATTTAGTGTTGACAGAGCCTTGAATGCCCTTTGCATCTCTGCTATAACCACATATTATGTATTCCACACACTGTTCTCTATTAAACACAGTTTTTTTTGCTGGCATTTACAGGTGGATAATGAATACTTTTGGGATTTTGGATTGTAGTCAATAATAGTGCAGTAACAAATATGAAATTATGTAAAATAAGTGAAATCCAAAACTAATAACTACTATGTTTTATACTTCCTTTTCCCCCCAATAAATAAAGTATTTTTGCAGTATTTGCATCCCTTGGTGTATATATATATATATTTGATACTTATTTAGTCTTTTCTTGGATGTTACTCACATTCTCATGTCCACCGCACATCGTCCTCCATCAGTTCGCACCTCCTGATCCTAGTTTGCCATAAATATTTTTGCCTTCCAGGTGGGCTTTCTTGTACACTTGCCTAACTATCAATAGACATAATGACGAGTTCCTGATCTTTGCTCCCTTCTTTTAGTACAACTATAGCAATCAATTCTGCAAATTGGCTTGATTTACATTTTACTCTTTCTTGAAGGATGAGGTGCTGCAGGTTTTATGTTATATTTTCCTTTGGGGGTCACAGTAGCAGTTGATTTGGTAAAACTAGCACTTTTCTTTTGCATTTTATTCATTGCTTATATATAAGGGTGAGCATGATTGGCCCTTGACATATGGCAGTATGTGACGGGATTTCAGAACTCATTAAACAGGTGAGGAACTCTGTTAATTATTTTTGCAGGTACCCCTTCAACTTAACATAGCTGGTGATTGAGGGGGGGGGGAGAGGTCTATATGGTCCCAGACTCTTTCCTATCATGGTTTCCACATATTTCAAGATCAGAAAGGCTGCAAAAAGATTCTTCTCCAAGACTATAGTGTGTGTTTGGACCAGAACCTAATGTCACAAGACAGATGTTTTAATTCAGTTTGTCTGTTCATGACTCAACACGTTACCTACAGCATATAGGGACCATACATGCCATCATTGGTATGAGGTTTTGGTTGTCCGTGGTTAAACCAGTAGATGGTTTTAATTGGCTTTGAATGTCCAGTGGGGTAGTCAAAGCAGATAGATGTTTTATTAGCAAAATTTACATTATATAGGTTTTATTTTTCAGCAAATACGTTCCACTTTTTATATATTTATGCTGCAGCCAAAATATTACTAATGGTTTAATAGCAGTCATTTAACAAGTCCATCAACTTTTGCTTGTGTGATGTACTTAACATGCCCTAACTGTAAATATGCTAGGATGTTGACTCCTACTCTAATATCTCTGTTAATACAGTACAATATACACACTACTCAAGATAATAACTGTAGTGAGATGTATACAGATACTTAACTTAATTATTACAGCCTCCCAAGATCGTTACCCAGAGAAAACGACCTATTAACATAGATAACCACAAGCAACACAGAACTTCGGGATACGGCTGGACAGTTAATCTAAAAGGAACACAAAAAATATACACAAAATAGTGAAGTACAATTAACACATGGTTTTCCGCTGAATACAAATGCACTCACAGAATGAAGTAGAATATATCGCTCATAGGGTGCCTCCCCTAGTGGAATGGGGGG